ATTTTTTCCCTTCTCACAAAGGAACACAACAAAGGCAAAGCAAAATAATGTTAGAAGTTGTTAAGGTCAGCAGAAAACGCGGAGGACCAAAGTATAAGTTCATTTAAGTAACAGAACCTTAGATACTTTAGGATTTAAAAGCATAACTTTAAATTGCTCTGTTCTAAGATCTTATCCCAGCCTTGCAACTGTTATTTTCTACCAAAAATTACTTTCTCAAACAACACAATAGGTCATGCTGTGAGGAACAGAGCTTTCCCATCAGTTTTTTGAAACAGAAGAAAAGATAAAGGTTGGACGTGCAAGCAAGCCAAATGTCAACCCAAATAACTCCCTAGCCTGCCATTCAGCCTGCTTGTTTGCTCCACATTGCACACGGTTTACTAAAACTATCAAATTAACTTTCTCCACTTACATAATGCTGAAGGAATTCTATGAACTGCACAGTTAATTAGTTGATTATAAATAATTGTCATCCAGTTGCCATCTAATTCTTGTATTTTTTTTTGAACCTCTGGAGTAGAAATGAAAATGACAGCCTATTGAATAGCTGGGTCACTCAAATAAATGCATGAACTCAGTTCAGTTGAACTACTTGCAGCAAGATTTAATATGTCATTTATCCCATCTAACTTGAGACAACCACACTGCAAAATACTGCAGTCATCAAGATCTGTCTTAACAATACCTTGGAACCTAATGAGTCTAATTCATTTTTTAGATGCATGCTTCCGAAGGTCAGTGAAGCCGTGAAACTAAGATATCAATGTCATCCTGAGAGGAAATATAAATTAGGAAAAAGTGTTTATTTTATAATGGCACATTTATTTATAGAAAGGTTAAATGGTTCAGACAATCTTGTCTAACAGATATCCTGTCTGATGAATTAGGAATGAGTAGCACTAGGAAATAGGTCTCAGTAAGCAGGCTACTGCCTACCACATCAACCACTGTGAGCAACAGATTACACCTACATGGCATGAGACCTTTGATCAAATACTGGTGGAGAGGGAAAGACTCCTGCATCAAGAGTTCAGCCCACAATTAGGGATACAATAAAGAAAACATAATGAAGATGCTAACGTTCTGAAGAAATGAATGAATGAGACAAAATAAGGCAGTGAAAAACATGATCTCCTTCTTTCCTGAAAATAGCAGCTGAACTTAGAGGAATCCAGGATGACCCAGAGGCAAGGAAGGAAAGTGGGAAAATGAAAGTACACTCAGAATGACTCTTCTTCACCATTCATAGCTGAGCCAACAGAAACTTAACACTCTTCAGGGTAAAAGGGCACATTAGTCCTTTGCTAAAAGTGTTCAACAGAACAACAGGTAGCTAAATTGTGCTAAAGATTTGAATCTCAAGGTGGGAACTATAGAAGCCAGGGAGTGTCATGAAGGCCTGAGATAAAAGTCCCAAGCCCAATGGGTTCAGTGACAAAGCCTTGCTGAAAGGAGGCAAAAAGTCAAGATAAGCAGCGAAGCCAATAGACCACTGCTGGGAGAGAAGGGAAGAATGGGGAGATGGGTGCCAAATGCAGTTCTGATGATTTAGCACATCCATGGGCTCGACCAATTAACACTTTTTTCAACCATTTGAAAATTCTCTTAGTGCCTCAGAGGTCTAAAAGAGACATTTTAAAAATGTCTCCGCATCCAGTCAAAGATATTGTTCAAAGCAACAGAATCCTGGAGACTGTAATTTGACTTGAAGAACAATCACAAAAGCTGCCTGTTTTTTGTGAAATCACTGAGAATTTATGTTCATAAGCCAAGCAGGATTTTAAGAGCCAGCTGTTAATGTATGGAGAAAATTGCATACATGTCTCTTTGTAGACACAAGAGCCAGTAGAGGCCAGTAGGCCTCGCAATAAGAACAGCCCTTTGCATGTGTAGATTTTATCACAGCAAGCAGATGAAAAAGAAACCAAAGTTAAAACATGTAACAGCCATGGACTCTCTAAAATCTTTTTAGATTAGTTGAGTTAGGAACACGTTGCAGTGCCATGGGCTCCATTTTTAAAGGATTTCCTCCAGCAGAACACAAGATACAGTTTAAACCAACAAACAATCTAAAGTCTCATTTTGTGGAAGGATAAATTTGCCCTTACGAATTCTCCAGTGATTGGCCTGAGAATGGGATTCACATTAATTGCTCAAAAGTTGGATTAGATATATCTGCAAAGTGTACCACGGTCCATTTGACACTACAGCACAAAGACAGGCTGTGCACAGCCATACAAGTATTGCTCAGATTATGTGTTAGTTGTTGAGCCAGCACTCTCAGACATATTTTGACTAGCATCAATCTCTGCAGCAAAACTAGAATAAGAAATCTGCGCTTTTCCACCTCAATCATTCCTTCCCACTCACATCATGCTCCTTCCTTATATTACTGTTCATGCAACAAATTAATCACTGAAACAATGATAATAAAAGCAACAATTTGTGAGGAAAAACGAAAAAAAAAATAATAACCATGAAGATTATAGTTAATTGGTATCATTTGGTGATAACATGCCAATGTATCCCACATATTGCCATATGGATAAACACTGCAAGCCAGGACTGGAACCATGGTAGCCTGAGCAACAGGAGGGTAGGCAGTGCTTGTCACAGCCAGTGCATCAGGTAACAATTCCCTCAGCACAAATAACACACTGTGAGATTAGCTTACTCTTGCTAATTGAAACAACAAAGAAAATCAAAAGCCAAGTTCTAAGAGCAGAAATGAGGACATGTTAAAAGCAGTGAGAGCTGGAAACATTCAGCTGGGCCAATATACAGTGTGGAAGGTCTTGACAAGACATTCTAGAGCCAGTACGTAGATCTTTTTGATAATAATAATCTACAGGGTCTGTAAAGACAGAACACCTTTTCCTTTCAGTGATGTGTTACAAGAGCTGCTCCAAAAGTAATGCCACCCATTTCATTGTGTTAGCTCATGACATCAGAGGCAGATGTCGGTGGTACAGCAACAAAGGTTGAACATTCCTTTCACTACATTTTGTTTCCGTGCGATGGATGGCAGCTGAGGTGCCATCTGACAGAATGGCATCTGACATGCAAGTGCCTATAAAGCAATGGAGAGCAATTGAATCCTCCCTCCATGTGGAAAAAAAAATTGTACCCACTGATATTCACTGATGCTTACTGAACATTTATGGAGAACAAACAGTGGATGTGTGCACACTGAGGTGGTGGATGGTGTGTTTCAGCAGTGGCACCAGTGACGCAAAAGACAAGCCATGTTCTAGATGGCCATGCACAGCTGACACATCACAAAATTATGACTATTCTTGATCAGCTCACCCACACAAATAGGCAATTTATGGTCAGGGAACTGTGTATGGAGCCGAACATCAACTTCAATGTGTTGGAGATGATGCTGGCAATGCTGGAATATCACAAAGTTCGCACCAGCTGGGTCCCATGAATGCTCACACAGGAACAAAAAGAACACTCTATACAAATTTTTCAGGACCTACTAAACACAATATGTGGCTGAAGGTGACAATTTTCTGTAACACTCCATTGCCAGTGACAACATGTGATGTCACCAAAGGAACCGAAGCCAAAACAGCAGCAGTCCATGGAGTGGTAGCATGTGAATTCCCCATCAGAGAAAAAATGCTGACCTCAGTGGGTAAAGTGATGTGCATTGTCTTTTGGGATGGAAATGTGGTCATCATTCTGGATTTTCTGGAACATGAACAAACCACTGTGTCCAACACGAAACTGCTACGTTGACTAAGCTGAAGGCTTGCAGTTCCAGACTCAGGCCAAAGAAGACAACCTTTCTCTTGCAACACAATAATACCAGACCCCATACCAGAGCACACTGCCAGTCTTGGCTGGACTATTGTACCACATCTACTGTATAGTCCGGATTTGGTGCCTTCTGACTTTCAGCTCTCTGGGTCGACGAAAGATGGACAGCATGGGCAACATTTTCCTAGTAATGATGCAGTTATAGTAGCTGTGAAACAATGGATCATCTTCACTGGTGCAGATTTTTATGAGTGCAACATACAGACTCTTGTTCATTGCTGCAAAAATGCACAGCTAATGGTGATAACTATGCTGGAAAAAAAAACTTCTTGTACCTGAGAACTTTCTCTATCAAATAGTGTTATTGTGCTCTTTGTATCTGTTGTAGTTTCCATGGATATAATTAGGAGGCTCTACTTTTGGAGCAATCTAAATAGATTTGACACTGCTACTGAATATGAACACAATTCTTTCAAATGCTGAACAAACACTGTCACATCCTGCCCTGACTCCTACAGACTTAACATCAGCAGCTCAAAGGGCAAGAACCTTCACCTGAAAAATGTATTTAGGATAGAGTTAAAAAATCAAGTACTCCAGTTGTTCTAGCAGATTATGAAGAGATTTGTAAGTAAAACACACCCCAGTTACCCAATGCTAATTCTGGCAGCTCTTAAGTCTTTTCTTACTGAAAATCATTGTTTCTTATGATATATATATAGGTTGGATTCTGGAACACTGAAGGCATTTAAAGATAGAAAAGCATAACGAAGTATGGAATCAAAGCTGTATAATTAATTAAACTTCATAAGAAGTGCTAACATGTATTTCCTAAATTAGCTTGGTAGCAGATGTGTATAACTTACCTAGAATGAACTAACCCAATTAATTTATATCTGTCATTTGTTCCCATTCCTTATTATCAGCCTTCTTCAAACTAACACTCTACAAAAATTGTGCATTTAACACTGAAATTAATAAAATATATCCTTAAGCAAAACAGTCTTCAGCTGCTTCTGGTAGAACAGTTCCAAGGTACTTCTGGACTTTATTTCAATTTAAACTTTAATACAATTCTGTGAAACTAATCTATTCATGTAAGTAAACAGAGATAGCCCAAGACCCATATTTGTATTTAAAGCTGTATTTAAGAGGATAGTAACCCAAGCTATTTTCAAACGCCTATTCAAAGATCAGAAAACCAGTATCAGCCAAATCAGAGGACCTCATTCACTTACTACCTTTGTTTATTTAAACAAAACAAGGGACATAGAATGTAACTTGCTGTTCTAATGAAAGGTTACAAACAGACTGAAAAGGCTAATCAACCCTTTGAGAAGAGTGCATTTCTGAAATAAACTGCTGTTTTCTAACACATTTCTTGAGATCAACCTTGAAATAGCACTATATATTCCACTTCAGTTTGAAAAGTAACAGCATCCTTACTTACCTAGAACAATACTCAGCTTCAGTAGCTTATTTTAATGGGCATAGTAGCTTTGCAGAGGATTGACTGTGAATATAATACATACATAGCGCTAGGTTTAACATTTTATTTGAATGACTTTCAATGTTATGCAAAATAAATTGTTATGTTACATCCACTGTGACATCAACTAAAATGTGAACTAGTTTGCATAGGTTAGTACTTTGGGCAGCATGATGTTGCTCTAGTCCACCAAGGCTTAAATATTCACAGTGTAGAGGAAAAAACAGGAATTAAAGCATTTCTACTAAAATATATTTTAATAGCTGGTGTTAACTTTCTGCATAACAAAAGCCAAAATAAGATGATACATCATATGGTCCAAGAGTAAGTATATCTGTCCTTTGAAAAACAGTTGTTACCTTCAGAACTGTATACTTCCAAATACAGTAGTTTTGCAAGATAACTAAAACTTTTACACACTTGAAAGCAAACATAAGCCAAACTGCACAGCGGTTCATTTTTGCTTTTTATATCACACCGCAAAAACCAACAGCTGAGATTTTCCACATCATGCTAATCAATGTTAATACAGTCATTGCTGTCTTCCAACAGTGTAGCAACTTCTAAGAGTACTATTAAATACACATGATTGAAATGCTACAGTATAGCTTATTTTCCCCTCTAAAATAATAATAATTAAACAAATGTCAACAACAACTGGATTACAACTTAAGTACAATATGCAAATTCTATTTATCAGACACAAGAAGCATATGAAATTCCTTTCAATATACTGTTGTAATGCAGGCAGTTTAGGAAATACAGCTTTCAGGTTTTCTTTCAAAAAGGGAAACAGGATTCCTATTGCATAAAGCTGGAGAAAATCACTAAAGCACTGCAAAATGGTTTACTCTTCTACAGCTCACCAGTACTTTGCATTTGCCAGCACATCAGTTTGGAGATCTTTCAGCAGCATCTTCTGTCTGTTCCAGCATGTTATTTAAACATTTACTAACTAAAGCTTATTCTGTATTTTAAATGGAGTATTAATCAACACAATTAAAATCTAACATTTTATACCCTGTACCACTTTCTGCCAAAGACTTACACACCATTCCTTTTTCATTGTACAAGATGGCATGCCTTGCATGTACAATAAAAGCTAAAATTACTACTTTTCCAAACATTGAAGACCTTCTGCATCCCCGAGTAACACTCGCTACGGACACATTTGTCACAAACGCAATCCACGGGAGGTGAATCTCTGTCAAATCTCAATCTGTTTAAGTGGTTTATGGTATGTCAAATGTAATCAAGAAAACCCTGTTTCATCAAGATTAAATGCTAATGTTCCATAATGAAAAATGCAAGATCTGTAAGTAGCTTTGTTTAGAAAATGAAGATAAGCTAGGCAAGAAAAAGTAATGAAAAGCAAGGCACCCATTTGTTCTTGTGTATATGTGTGAATGTGCTCTATGTAGTTTTATATATTTATACATAGATTAGTAAAAACGTTAGCATAACTTCCTTGTTTCTAAAATGTTTAAAATGGGAACATATGAGCTTCCAGCCTGAATTTTGGAATATCTTGGGAAATTTGGTTTCTCAGAACTCTTTCCCCAGAAAAATGTTGTTAACAGGAAAAAAAGCACAGTGAGGAGAACATGCGGTGTTAAAAAGGAATGCACATTTTAAAGGTGACAGGACAGCATACAACATCTGTTCACCCCTACATTCCACTGCATGTAACAGACTCCAACATATGCCTTGAAAAAGTCATGCTGGCACAATTTGGTTGCTGACCTATTCTTCGTACATTGCAAATTTCAGATCTTATACAACAGTTTGAAAATAGCACTCTAATAATTTGTGAACTTTGATAGCATTGTTCAGAACACATTTGCACAATGGGAAAAAAGTTTGTTGTATATTAAAAAAGAGGAAACGTTCCAAATGAACAATAATTGCTGAGTACATATAACATAAAAACCTGACTACATAAATGAGTATCTTAAAACAGATCTTAAAAATTCTGCTGACATACCACTTCAATGAGAAATACAATACTGCTTTTCTTCCTTGACCTTTTTTATTTCACAATTGCTTTAGGTGCTTTGCCAGGCTACTGAACATTCAAAATTCATAAACAGCATTTTATTTCGGTTGTTTTGCACAACGTAGTTCTCCAATGAGATCAAATGTTCATTTTTTTTATTTACTTTTCATTAGACATTCAACTCTGGAAGCCATCTCCTCACTTACAAAGAAAGAAAGCTAATGTTGAGACTTGCTTTTCTGTGACTAAAATTTGCAATTTGATGCAAAATACCTGTTTGCTCCATTTCTTTACATTCATGTTTGGTTAGCAAACTGCCAACTCTGCCAACTTGTTTGTATTGCTGTCAGCATTACAGAACAAATAGAGCAGCATAGCAGCAAATGATATCCAATTCTGCCCCAGGCATCATCAGAAAAATTTGCCACCTACTTTAAGATAGGATTTCTCTCTTTGCTGTTGATGAAAACCAATGCACAAACAGACTGCTTTTTTGAGAGTTTCTAGCTGTGCCTATCACAGCAGCCTTTTGAAAAACCCATTTGACTTGCAAAGCTAGCAAATTTAATGTGGAAGTCACCAGTAATGCATAAGGGTCTGTTAGAGCCCTTGTCTTTCAAGTGTTTAAAATGACAGCAGTGTAAGCCATACAGATTGCACATTTACAGGCTCACATTCCTGGTTTTAAATCACTTTTTTTGAAGTTAGATGCTCCCAGTTAGCTTTGGCCTTGAAATTAGGCAGCAGATAAGAAAGTATAGACAATTTCATGACCTTTTACCTTCTTTTCTTTTTTTGTTTTTTCAAATGCAGTCATCCCACCCCTTGTTTGGCAGCATGGGACTCGCCCCTTGTTAACAACAGGAAAAAAATCTGCTTAAACTTTCCAATTTCTAATTGTACACAGAAATGCAGCTAGGAAGTGTTTGCACTGACAACTTTCAGTTGCTGTAACAAATCTGTACTGCCTTCCTTCTTTGTTGTTTAAGCAGATACAGCAGACTTCCTTATTTTGTGAAATATGACATACAAAATTATCTACAAATTCTGCAGTAGTTCTGTTCTTAACATTTCAGAAATGGGACAATGTCAGTGCAGGATCAACACGACACCTACTCCAAAATTAACTTCTTTCTCATATGGTTGAATACCACAAATCACATTATCAGCAAAAACATTATTTCTTCATTATTTCTTTATGTTTGTATGCATTCACATGAGTAAGCTTCCACACAAACTGCTAAGTTCCACACAAACTTGTCCTTCCTCACAGAGTTTTATTTGGGAGGGAACACAGCACCATCCTGGCATCCCCTTAAAGCAAGAGGAACTTCCTTGTGTTTCAAGACTGTGACACAACTTCTCTTACAGGTCTGTTATGTCACCATTTATTTTAAGCTCTCCTCTCAGTCTCATAGATTGAGACCTGATTCCTTCATTTCCTAATCATAAGTTAATTGTCACCAAGGAGCAAGGTTTGTCAGCAAAATATTTTTACTGTTTTCTACTCATGGTAGAAACTGAAGCTTAATGGAATAGAGTATGCTGAAGGTTGGGTTTTTTTGCTAGTTTTCCCTTCAGTTTCAGTTATGAAAAGGAATAAATTTCAAAAGAAAGTTATGTTTCTCCTTCATTAATCATTTTGTAAACATACAACTCACTGTCAGATCATCAAAAATTTTGGAGGAAACTGAAATAGGCCATTGAGCTGAAATGCACTACAATAACCAGAGCTCTTTTCCGCTCTTCTCCACTCTTCAATGGAGGTGCAACTATTTCTGCAGCAGGGTAAGTACATTAGCTCATTAGCAAGGCAGCCATTAAGCAAGTTACCTGTGGCAAGATGAAGGGATGTGCCTGCATGCTTTGTGTGACTGCACAGCACCAGGGCCTCACACACTATTTACAGCAGTACAGGGGAAAGTAAAGGAAGTAACATTGCCCTAATGGAAGTTTATATTTAAATGCAAAGTATTATTTGACGGAAACAGAAGACATGATAGCTTTTATAATCAAGATAATTTCCGCAAGGAATTTTCTGTGGGAAAGATACTGAAGAACCATGAAACCAGGCATGGATCTAACTGATGGACTAGGATGCAAGCCAAGCTGATAGAAAAGGTCACTGTGAAAAACATAAAATGGGTAATCTGGGAATAAATGCAGGTGAGAGTTGGGAAATTTTTACTGTCAAAATAAACCTTTTCATTGTAAGGCTGCTGGGCAGTAGGTTTGTCGTGTTGTTTTGTTTTTTACAAACGTATTACTTGGTATTATTTCAAATGATCAAATTCTCTAACTAACACTTTTATTTTTATGAGGATGTTACCTTCTCAAGCATTAGACGTCTCCCATAAGAAGCGAATCAATTTTATGGTTACTATAAAGAGAAACAACCTCTCTGAAATGTAGGGAAAAGGTATTTTCTCTTTAAGCTTATTGATTTTATAGGATTAGCAGCACCAGGCTTTCATATATATTTTTTTTAATTTTATTTTTAGGGAGCACTATTATAAGCCATGCTGTTTTCAAAGCACTTGTTGTTTATTCATCCGTATTTAAAGGACTCTAAATTGGATTCTGAATGAAAATGCAGACTGTCATAGTAGCAATAAAGTAATGAACACATGATCTTAAAAGATTCTTTTCACTTTTTCTAAAAGATTAGATTCTGAGTAAATCATAACAAAGCTCAAAGGACTAGAGACAAAAATTAGTTAACAAACTCAATATAATTTGCTGGAAGCATTCCTGTTTTCCCAGTTCTCTGAACAGTACCATACATCCAGCCATCATCAATTGGTTGCACGTTGATTATATAGTCACCATCCCTGAAGGAAACTTCATCTTCATCTTGAGCACTGTAGTCATACATAGCTCTGTATGTTCTCTGTTGAAGGAAAGAAAACAAATCTGTAAAGTCTCAGTCCTAAGCAGAAATAGTTTATCTCTCTTCTTTACTCAGAGGAAAAAAAGGGAGGGGAGGGGAGAAAAAGGGGAAGGGAGAAAAAGGGGAGAAATCTAACAAATTATCTGTTGAACAGAAGCAGTAGACCTCATGCCCTGCCAAATATTCAAATAATATACTCACTTTTTCTGAGTACCAGAATAATTATTTATGTGAATCTACTCGAAGCCCTGATATAAACAAATATCAGGCTATCAGGCTATTCACTGTCTCTTGAAATATTCCAGCTGTTGTTTCACATATTCACTAGAAACATTTCTACGTCCTGCCGTGGCCTGTTTCTATAGCCTCTTTGCATAATTCCCAAAAAGCTTCTACTACATCTTCACTACAGATCATATTTTCATCTCTTTGAATGTCTTTCATCACACTGGTTTCTTACTCTAAATCAAGAATTACAAACTTCTTTATTATCTAGTGAAAACAAGACAAAAAAATGTACGTCTGCAAAAATAGTGTTTATGATACTCATTTTTAAATACTCACATAAAAGATTGATCTAAACAGAACAAGAATTTCTGTAGTTAGCTAAGCTAAATTTTTCTACACTTCTGTTAGCTGCAAGCAAAGATTTTCAATTTCTTCCTAAACAGAATATTTACTTCCGCTGACAATTTACAAAATGCTATGGTTTATTCATTTTTAAATTCCCAAGAGTGCTTTCTCCTCCTTTCTCTGTCTCTCAGATGAAATCAAGAGCAATTCAAGCATTGTAGATAGTAACCAATTGCTATCATATATAATATATAATATAATATAATATATATATATATATATTTATATTTATACATTAAGATATCTGGATGAATTTTTCTGACAAAGTGTTTTAAATAGTAAAAAGTGTTTTCCTAGCTGAGGAATATAACTCTGGATTAGTTTTAGTTACACCTGATATATGCTATTTGAGTTTGTTTTTTAATGAAATGATTTCTAGAAATGATGGAGTTTCACATATAGGCAGTGACAAGGTTGTTTTTTCATCATGTGGGATCATCTAACCCAAACATGATGGGGGAACTCATTACTGTTTCCACAAGAAAATGCACTTTTTGGTCTTAACTCTGGCTTTATCATTGGTAAAACAGATTAAACATTAGAGGAAGTAATTTCTGGTTTACTGTTACCTTGTCTGACAAGCCTACTCTAAACTGTATTTATATCTTACTCCATGCAATTGTTCTATTTCATAATGTTACTGCCCAAGTCACAGTCCTGGCTGTGCCCAGTACTGATTTTCAGTATATGATTCTTAATAGTTATTCCACAACTTCCAAGGGTATATGGAAGGTGATATTAAAAAAATTAAATAAAATAAAAAACCACAAAGAAAACAATTGGGAGAGTTCTACCACCATCAAAAAATCCACTAAAGATCCACAGATTAGAAAACTAGTGGTCAGAAGGCCCTGGGGAATGGTCTCTACCTTCAAGATTCTCATTTTTTCCAACTATTTCAAATGATCTCTCCACTGAGCCTTGAAACTAACTCCAAAACCAGTGAAAGATATGCTACTGTAACAAGGTCAGCAGCAGCAAGTAGTAGTTTGTTTCAAAAAAAAAAAAAAAAAAACATTTATTTGCTCAGCCAGAAAGGATGGTCTCTCATCCTTGGAACATGATGTTGTAGAACTACTACTGTCTCCTTTCTGGTGGCAAAGGTGTGAAGACAAGAGGTAATTTTAAACTTTAAAAAAAAATTATTAGGGCCCTAACTGCTTCTGAGAAACCCAAATTTATGGCCTTAACACCTAATTAGGTGCTAAATGGCTGTCAGGAGAAATCTCCATAATAATCCTGTTAGATTTTAATGGCTAATTATCACTTCAGAATGTAGTCAGGTCTATATAATTGAGAATTACAATGCTTAAAGGACTGAAAACAGAGATTTTAAAAATACATTTTAGAGAATTATTCCTCTGTCAGTAGTGAGTTTAGCAGGTCTGAAAGCAAAAGAGGATGAAAGAAAAAGTTGAGGTCAAATAGGCTCTTATCTGCTCCCTCCAAAGGTCTAATCTGTAGCTTCTGCTTAGGAAAAACAGTAATCTTTGTGCTTATGAAGCACTGAAGCCTAGCTATCATATTCCTAGCTTCGCACCCAAACATGAGACAACACATGCATATTTCCAATTCACCATCAATTTATCTTTATCTTCTGGATCAGGAAAAGCACCAGTTGCAAAGGCCTTCACACAGAGCAGCAATCAGGGGGAAGCCACCTTGCAATGTGGATTTTGTTTTCCCACCACTTTCAGACGTCTGAAGGCTTCAGAATACACTGCTGTTTTCCAAAGAGGTAAACACAGCCTGGCTGAAGCCTTCAGAGAGTTGTTACTAAGCATTCTGTACAGTGAGCAACAATTTAATTCAGCCCGTTATGCAAATCTGCTTGTAGAAAGCCAGTAAAAGCTGAAAATCATAAATAACACAATTCATTCAGAAAAAAAAAGTTAGGATCACAGGTTGCCATCAGTCTTCAGTCTGTATGAATCTGCACTTCAGAACAGTGCCCCAAGCAGGGGCTCTGAGACAGTCTTATGCCACTTTAATAGTTGAGTGTAACTTATCCTGCCTGTATGAACAATTTGTACAGGCTAAAAAAAAGTCTTTTGATATGACAGCAGAAAGACAAGAGAGCATACCAGGTTTGTAACTCTGCTCTTTTGGAGCAGAGTAGTCACCCCAATGGTGGTGAGATTACGGCTGCCTCCCTTACCAGGCTGCCAAGTTAGCAGGCAGCATCAGGAGAGCGCTCCTGGATTTTCTCCCTCCAGAAATGTTTGGTTTCTTATCTTCAAAGAAATTCACTCAAACTGCAACAAAATCAGTTTATACCACAACATTCACTGGTTTTGTTTTTTTCCCATGATAAACAGCTACTATCACTCTAAAGAATGCCAAATAACAACATTGTTTCACAGAAGGAATAAGAAATCCTGCTGAAAAGATTCAGCCTATTCTCCATATTTCAAATGCTGTAACTTCACTCTCTTCCGTTTCTTGTTACCCTCAAACTACCAGTTATGAAAGGAGGCAAATGATTATTCTCAATCTGACTCAAATAATAGTATTTTTTCAACAAGCAGCCCACTCAGTAAGTCAGTTTGAGAAGGAAAAATAAGACACCTACCCACAGAGCTACAAGGTATGCTAAGTGGATTTCCAGATTTTCAGGCATCTCCATTCCAGCATTTGAAGGCTGTTTGGTTTTCTTCCTACTCACTAGCAAACCTGCTGGCAAAGCCCAGGCTTCCAGCTCCCCCATTTTCTCGCTCTGACTGGGAAATCAGTCTGCTTCCCAGGTACCTTGAGTTACGTTTTGAAATGAAAGGCTGATTCCAGCACCAACCATTTCACAAGGGTCATGCAGGCACCCAAAGAGTTTCTCAGGTTATTGGCTTGCCCAAAGATGCAATTATCTGGATCCTAGAATTCCCAGCAAGTTAGCCCCTTCAGCTCAAAAGCAGCTGAGAGAACAGACGTCCCCAAACCACCTTTATAACATAAAATACCATAGAGTTTCAGTTTTAAAGAAAATGCAACTTCTTGTCAAAAGGACAACTCACTTTTTCTTTCAGGTCAAGTAAAAACTTCCTTCCTCTATAAAGCTTTAGGTTTCATTCAGAATTAAATATTTCACCTCTAAACAAGGTAAAAGAAGTAGTGAATATACACCAATTTAAAGCAGTTCAACAAGTTGACACTCTTATGGTAAAAGGTGATGAGATCTGCACTGCAAAATCTATATGCAGTGATAATAACAACAAAAAATACAATAACTACTAAAATATAATTTTATATACAAAGTGTTCAAACAGAAAAATGCACAACACTCCCTCTGCCACTCCCTTCCCACTTCCAAAGGGAAAAAAAAATAAAAATAGCTGCATACCCATTCAGTTCTCCTTCACTTTTTTTTTGTCACTGCCCTCAGTCACTGAACACCTCTCCTACATTTGGACTATCACAATTAGAACTAGGACAGTCGAGTAGTCCGACTGTAGTGCTCAGGGGACCAATTCTCCTATCTTTAAGAAGTCTCACAATGGTTGATAAGATTGCTTGCCAAACATAATTGGTTATGAAATCCAATACTCACCAGGCCTGCTGGATGAGGCTGTGAATGCACTGACCTCATAGACGACATACTGGTCTGGTGCATGTATCCATATCCTTGGGACTGGCTTTGCTGATATGCCCCAGGGAGAACAGGGGCTGTGTGGTAAAGAAACAGAGACACATTAATGGCAGGGGGTTTTTTTGTTTTGGTTTGGTTTTTTGTTTTTGTTTTTGTTTTGTTTTTTTTAAAGTCCTCATCTAGAAATTTGTAGAACCTGTAGATTATTTGCACTGTAAATAACAATTCCATAGTATGAAATAGTGAATTCAGAATTATTTGCATGCACAATAGAACGCTTTCCATATGTTGAATTATACATAAATGTAGGCAAAGCTATAGCAATATATCCACAAACACTATCAAGGTTAGATGGAAAGAAAAGCTTAACATACCTTGAGGAGTTTTACTATAAAAAGGCATCCTGAAGCTTGAGATACCACTAACTCAGCATTAATAGTGCCACAGATGACACACTAAATGTCATGTACCATAAACTGCCATTTTTTCAGAGAAAGAATGATAAATGAATCTATATGCTGAATCATTTCAGAAGTGTACTAATTGGAAGTACCCATGATTAATTCCTAACTCATTGCAAACTAACTCTTACTTACTGGTCTATGAACAAAACAAAACTGATTAAAAGGAAGAGACAAGAATGTAAACCTGTGAGTCCACAGTTGGGTTCCTTGGTTTACTCTGATTCCATCAACGCTCTTCGCCAAGCATAGAGATCATTGGTTATTTATATTTTTCTAAGTCTACCTCTTTCACTATCTTCCTCTTAACCACACAACTACTACTCTTCCACAGGTTCCTGTCATCTTTAACAGTTCTATTTTAGGGATTCTCTTATCCATCTGTTAATGATTAATACTTGTACTTTCATTGTACCAATGAGTTGTTGAAAGAGTTAATACAACCAGGGACTCCCTAAATTTGTTGTTTGCTAGGAAAGCATAAGTAATCCTTCTTATCTGTTCAAATATCCAAATATGGCAACAGATTGAATCAGAATGTATTAAAAACATGTAACCAAAACCTCTTAGAAACAAGCATAGGTTCATATTCACTAATTTTCCAGTAGGCCCAGGAAGCATTTTTAAAACAAAATTAAGACTGAAGTGGTTGTCAAAATCTAGAGTTGAAAAGTTTAATCACCTCATGTCTGTGTATGTTTTGCAAGACATTGATCTGAAAATAAAGTTTTCTGGCTGGTTTGGAGATTATTAGTCCATCTCCACTGCCATTTATCAGAATTTTACTACTTGAATCAGAAACTCATTTGGCTACATTGTTAATAAAATGCACTTCAACAGTGGTTCACTTAGCCTGCACTCCAGTAAATTCTTCTGACAAAAGTCATGATTTTGAGATCATACAGCCCATGAGTAAAAAATTTTCATATAGAAGTCACCTCAGCAGTCTGATGCTTTGTGAGATGCTTCTCTTGGGCATGCTGGGCAGAGCAGTCATCATATGCTGATTGAAGCAGGAGCAAAATTAATATAGGATTAATGGAGTTGACAAGGAATTGCAGGACGCAGGCATTGTAGAACGAACAAATAAAGAAGGAGCAGAGAAAAAAAAATAAGAAAAATATATATGCAACAAGTATTTCTATCTGCAACAATAATGCTCTGTCCCTGTCTTCTTCCTGAATGATCAGGACAACAAATGAACATAGACCACTGAGAAATTATTTGCTGAAATATTTCTAGAAGAACGGTCAAAGTTTTACATAACCTGCTTCCCCAGCTAACAGCATCATTGATTTTAACAAAGTTTTTTTTTAAGATATCCATTTAGTTTTACTTGGCATATTTGAATTCATTAAGTATGTAATTATGATTTGGGATGCTATTTTTTCATTCTACAGTATTTTTCATGATAAGTAACACTGCATATTTAATCAGATTTTTTCTGATTTAGAAAATATGTTGCAAACTATTGTAATGAATGGATTGCTTTGTTAAGTGAGTGAAATTAAAGTGATACACAGTCAGATGCAACACTGGAACATGATGAATAATGGATGTTTTAGAAGTGCCAAGTTCATTCTAACGGCATACGAGTACAAAGACATTTTAAAGCAGTTTAATCATCAGGGAATTGCTGCTTGTTAACACACTCATAGGATTATCATGCATTAAGTGAATAGTCCTGAGTAGTTCATCAAATTATTTATGTTTCAGTGTTGTTTCAAGATATTTGCACATGACCAGATATAATTCTTCATGAGAATATATAAAATAGAGAAAAATATAATTTAATAAAAGGTTCTGCAATCAAGCCAGAATGAATATATTTTATCTAAATCACTACCAGCATAAACATAAGCCACTTCATAGAAAGCAACAGAGCCTCATCTCCTCATACCAGTAAATTTGCCATGTGGGCTCAAAACAAAGAACAGCCTGAACGCTTTAAATTCATAGGAAGTAGTACCTGAAGCAAGCACTGGCTGCTGACTCCCCAGCATACTGATTGCTCTGCAACCACAAAGGACTGTGGCTTTTCCCTGGCAGGTACAGACACCCTTCCCTGAGCATCCCTTCCTTCTTCCCAAAGAAGTGAACATGCCAGGAGAAACTGCTGACTCTTGTTTCCTTCCCCAGAATGGATATTTCTTAACTCCTACCAATTGTCCCATCAGTTTAAGGCTAACTGATGGTCTGCTTCATTATATCCTCCAAGCTGGCAAGTTTATTTTGGGGAGGGTAACCTGTACCTCCCTCCTCCGTGACACTCATCAGCAGTGGGTCCAAGATATGCTTTCCTCTTTTGCAATCAGCTTCTCACAAGGTGAGAAAAATTTGTCAAACTGTCACAAAGTATCTGCTTACTATTTTCTCTGCCACAACAGAAAACATAAATCATGGGAAATAAAATATGTTTCAAAGCGCTGAAGATTCTAGGAAGCATCTGAGAACATTCTACACAAACAAAAGGGAGGAACTTCTAGGATCAAATAGCTTCAGTAAGTACCCATCAGTCTTATGGAGAGAGCATTTGAAATCAGTGCTGAAGATGACTGAATAATTCCAGACTTTTTTTCCATTAAAAGAATACTATATTAGAGCTGTATAAAATAAATAAATCAAACAATAGTTTTTAACAAAACATTTAAGAAAAAGAGTTAAGCAACCCTCAGACAGTTGTCTACTTCGAATATATTTGGGAAGTACAAAATAAATAGAACAGTGAAGAGACATCAGTTTGGAGCTGTGTTTTTAGTGACATAAAAATAACTCAAAGTGAGATTAAAAGATGAAGAAAAAAGAGTTTGACTTATCATCGTCATCATCATCATCATCCATAGTTACCTGCAATCTTTTGACTCAGACCAAAGTACAAAGTTCTATAACATCACTGACTGCAGCAGCAGCAAAAACAGTGGTTTACTTAACCTAAGGGGACAATAAAACACAGTGGTAGAACATGAAATTCATTTAGCTGAAGCCAGATTTATTGGTGAGGGATCTAAGGGCTGACCATTGCTCCCAGAGGTATAGGTGGAAGTTTCTTCTTGTTGCATTAAGACTTTACCAGATGCATTCTGATGTACCAAAACTTTCTGTTTTTTGTTTTTTTTGGTTTTTTTTTTTTTGTCTTTCTCAACTTATGAATTAAGACATACTTATTTTAAAATTACCTGTTAGCAGGAATTTATCATATTTTGCTTACTATAGTGTTTTTTTTTTTTTTCCTTCCTCAGAGAAAAGAGAGGAGATGAATGAACACAGTCAAAAATAAACACAAAGAAGCCTCCAAGAAACAGAAGAAAATGTTTGTGTTTGAATGATAGGTGGGTATCAGGGCACTGCAGCAGACAGCAGAGAGTGAAGTGCATTGAGAACAACCATGAAAGAAAAAGGTCAGGCTGTGGAAACAGGAAAAGGATAATAAAGAGAGTATTACACAGCTACAAGGTTTAAAAAAAGTTTATAACAGTTTATGCTGAAAAGAAAAATTCTTTAAAGGACAGGTTCCAATATATAATATTTTATCAACACTGTACTTAAACTCTCTTTAATTCTTCTGAATAGCAGAACTTAGATAATCCATAGTAAAACAATGTATCCGCTCCATTAACTACTACATTTTTGCCATTTACTGTAGTACACGCCATCTACTGGATCATACGTACAATATTAACTCCTTCACTTATTCTTATAGGCATAATGCAGTTTAAAGCATTTAGACTTTGGTGTTATCTCTACTTATAGTATTAATACCATGCCATGAAGAATGCAAAGAACTCACTAAAACATAGCAATAACAGCAGCATGGCAGAGCAGAAAGAAAAAGGACAATGATTAATACTGGTTTGTGTCTGTAGATTTTCTGAAGGGCATAAAATAGCAGTAAAGCTGGAACATGGCATTATCATGCATCTTTGTGCTACTGAATAGCTCTCCCAAAACAGATAAAGCTGCTGTTCCACATATATTTAGATCCTTCCTGTGTTTTGTCTTTCTGCTGCCTTCTTCTCCACATGTTGTATCATCCACAGTAGCCATTACAATCTTGAGAAAATATCTTTCTTGTGGTTTTCAATTCCTTATCTCTTCTGCTTTTTCCTTAGAAATCATTCAGCTGTGTCCCTGGAGCAGAAAATACCATCAAAGCAATGATGCTCACTAAAGGACACTTAGTTTCAGAAAGGGATCAGACCAGCAACACACGCAGTGCAAGACAGGAGGCAGGACCAGGCATCCAAGGCCATAGACAGCAGAAGGCAGCAAACTGCTAGATCAGCTCTGTTGTCCCAAGGTAAGCTCCCATGAACCCCAGTTCTGCATCAGCTCTGAGTTCAGTTCACAGCAGAACTGAGCCTCTCACAGATGCTTCCCTCCAGATGTCGCAGCACTCAGGTCCAAACTGTATCTCAACTAACATAGACTGCTTCTGTGTGATACCATGCATTTATATTTTAGATTCTTAATATCTTAGACCACAATATTTGAAATAGAAGTTTAGGTATAATTAAATGAAACGTAGCCAGCATGAGCTGGTTGCTGGACATGAAAAAAAGATATTGAAGAAACCGGTCTAACAGACAATCTGTCTCTTGTGAGACATAATGTAGTCT